AGGCCACAACAGTGAGAGGCCCGCATAACGCAAAAAAAAAAAAAAAAAAAAAAAATCAAAATATTCCTTTAAATTTTACTTTAAGTAGACTTTTTTTAACCTTACAACTAGAAAATCCAATTGAAGTTGTTTTAGTTCTCAACTTTTTAATGAGTTAATTCACATGTATATTAGAAACATTAAAATAGAAATTATACATCATTGAAAAGTAATTACAAAATACATTTTGGTTAGAAATTTTCTCCAGTACAAAAATTTTTCATGATAATACAACATTCAAAAAAAAACTCTTGGGACTTCCCGGGTGATGCAGTGGTTAGGAATCCTCCTGCCAATGCAGGGGACACAGGTTCAAGCCCTGGTCCAGGAAGATCCCACATGCTGCGGAGCAACTAAGCCCGTGCGCCACAACTACTGATCCTGCGCTCTAGAGCCCGCGAGCTACAACTACTGAGCCCATGTGCCACAGCTACTGAAGCCCACACGCCTAGAGCCCGTGCTCCGCAACAAGAGAGGCCACCACAATGAGAAGCCCGCGCACCACAACAAAGAGTAGCCCCCGCTCACCGCAACTAGAGAAAGCCTGAGTGCAGCAACAAAGACCCAACACAGCGAAAAGTAAATAAATAAAATAAATAAATTTATAAAAACAAATTCTTGGATGACATTTAAATAATGAAGGTACTGTTGATTTTAAGTAAAATTTTCTGATATTCTCAGAGCATAATGGTGTTTTTATAGCACTCCTCACAGTTATAATTTCTCATTTATTTATGTGATAATTGATTAATATATGCCTCTCCCTCTAAACTGGAAACTCCAACAGAGCAAGAACCATGTTTGCTTTTGTTTATCATAGTGAGGTTTGTTTAAACAATAATAATAAAAGATACAATTTCCTTGGATTAACTCAGCCAGGGATACAGCTAGGAACTAAGAACTTTCTTGGGTTTCCTAATGGTTCTCTTACCCATATCACCTCAGTGAGACCTCTTTCTTACTCTTTGTAAATACTGCTGCCTCAGGCATAAGGCAACATAACTGAGTTGAATGTTAATGTCAAACCATCTTGAGAAATTAAATCTAAGCACACTTACCATTTTTCAGGCTATCATATCCCATTGAATGACGGATTTCTTTCAGGGTAGACCCTTGGGCCCCAAGTTCCATCATTCCCATTGCAAGGGTGACACTCAGTGGAGAGAAGAGAATATTTTCATCTTCTCCAGTGGCTCGAAGATGGTTATACATATTCACTGACAACTCAGCAATGGTTTCATCAGTGAAAGTGGTCCCTAACGTCAAACTCTGCAGAACCAGCAAAGAGACGAGTCCAAGGAAAGCCATGTTGGAATAGTTTCAAGCCTGGAGAACAATATTTTACATATTAATTATTAATTACCTCAGAGAAAGGGAGTGAGAGGTAAAAAATATAATTTCATGGCAAAGTTGTAAGTTAACCAAAAGTTTTTAAACATATGGAATGTTAGTGTCTCTATAACAAAAAAGCCCGTTAAAGGATTTGTTGGAAGATCCTATTAAGTCAATTAATAGGCAAATGAGCGAATAACACGGCTAAGTCCTGAGGATGCTCCCAAGAACAAGATAGCCCTGGTCTCACCCTCATGGGGCTGAGTATATATAGATATATATTCAACAATGTTTGGTGAGGCTAATTTATCAATTTTCATAGCCTCATCATGCATATTTCAGTCATGACTTTGAAACAATTCACTCTAGTGTACACTAAACTACACAGGTACAGGACAATTAAGATGAAAACCAAAAGGTATTCACAGGGTTTAAGAAGAATTAGTGAAGTTAGGCATTTGAAAATGCCCCTTTACCCATTTACTACAATTTATGAAATTAATGTACCATGCAACTGGGTTACCAACTAGTGGGGAGAGATCAAACACACATTTGCCAGGAGCCCCAGTTTATTCAGCCCAGGCTGCAGAACCCACAGGAAGTGGTAACTCAGAGAAAAAGCAGATTCGACACATCCTTGTGTGGTTTTCCTTATTTATTTGTTCCCTAGCAGGCTGCTGCCCTCAGTGACCATCTCTGTGCAGGGAGACGCCTCCCTCTTACAACAGTGTCCTTTCATTCTTAGACTTACATGACCATTTCAGCTTACACCAATACTCCAGTGATTTTATTTAAATGACTGTTCTAAATATCAAGCTCATCTGGTACTTGAACCGTGTTCTCTCGGGAAGAGAAAGCAGTGTCAGTGCCCAGATAACTCAGAATAATATTCCTGCCTTTTGGCACACCAGCATTCCACATGCTCTGTCTCCCCACAAACAGTCTGACTGGCACACATTGGGGACAGGGTTCCCTCTTTCCTCACATTCTCACACTTTGTCACTCTAGGCATCTGAAAGGTAAACTGCCTATTCAAACAGTTAAGCAGCTTCCTTGTTCTTGATCTTTAAAAAAAATTAAAAAAACCATCATTAAAACAACAGGTAAATGGGCATCATCAGAAAATCTACAAACAACAAATGCTGGAGAGGATGTGGAGAAAAGAGAACCCTCTTGCACTGTTGGTGGGAATGTAAACTGATAACAGCCCCTATGGAGAACAGTACAGAGGTTCCTTAAAAAAACTAAAAATAGAATTACCATATGACCCAGCAATCCCACTACTGGGCATATACCCAGAGAAAACCATAGTTCAAGAAGATACATGCACCACAATGTTCATTGCAGCACTATTTACAATAGTCAGGTCATGGAAGCAACCTAAGTGTCCATCGACAGACGAATGGATAAAGAAGATGTGGTACATATATACAATGGAATATTAGCCATAAAAAGGAACGAAATTGAGTCATTTGTTGAGACGTGGATGGATCTAAAGACTGTCACACAGAGTGAAGCAAATCAGAAAGAGAAAAACAAATATTGTATATTAACACATATATGTGGAGCCTAGAAAATGGTACAGATGAACCGGTTTGCAAGGCAGAAATAGAGACACAGATGTAGAGAACAAACGTATGGACACCAAGGGGGGAAAGTGG